CTGTCCAGTGAAACGATCAGCGCTTGTGGCAGACGTACGGAGATTGATCTGAAGTTGGGGTCATCTTTGCTGACTGCAACTGGGAACAGAATGAGTCGCCACCCCATTTCCGTGCATGGAAAGAGCCGGCCATGATACTTAAAGAGATATCGAATGATGTCACCATGCGTTTGGCCAAAAAGCAGCTGACACATGCAGTGGCAGTCAACTGCAAGGACCGGCCCACAAGCCTGCAGGAGCACCCAAAAGAACTACCAGCCCCAGCTGGCCCGGCAATGGTTCGTACGAAAGAGAGAAAGTCGAAAAAGGAACGCTTCTTGTTACTAGTAGCGATGGCCTCCAACCTACTTGCGATGGCCTCCACCTAATAGCGTCCTTGCTCCTAGTACGGGATTATTGAGCTGTTCGAGTTCCTTTTTCTATTAGTAACTAGAAGCTACTATACTAGTGGAGGCCATCGCTACTAGGTTGGAGGGCCATCGCCACTAGTAACAATAAAGCTTTCTAGAACAAGAAAGGAAAGTCATGGAACATCAGGTCGATGAAATTGGTAGATGAATTAGTTCCATGCCCGTCCGTCTCATCCGACCCACCGACCTCCATCTCCTCCGTGTCCAGGGTCGCAGGCGTCTCCTCTGGGAGCGGCTCCTGGTGGAACGTCCGACTCGACCGAGTCAAGTCCACTCTGCATCGGAGTAGACCTTAGGAACAAAGAGGGGGACCTTTCTTGAGGACATGTTGATTGAGGTCATGTTATACAGTATCATGATTAGTATGCATTGTACATACCTGAATGGAGAGTTCTGACATCCTCAAGCCTCACTGTGTCTCTTTCTTTTGTCGCGTCCCGTCCTCTCCAGGACTCCTGGCTCAGCAGGTTGAACGCAAGGGGACAAATTAAGTACAAACATGTCAACAGACTTCCAAGCTGAATCCTACTTTTGAAGCAGGAGAATTCACTGAAAACCCGACCTCGTAGGAACACGAGGGACCCTTATAGGCCCTGTATGGGCCCTATCCTCCCTGATCTCTGGCTCTTGTTGCAGCATTTTAGGGGCGCCCAACAGGACCAAACACCGAAGTCGCTCCGCTTCAGGCAGCCGAGGCATACCCGATGTCTCGGACGGAGTTGAGCCCTGTGGCAGTCCTGTGAGCCATCTTAGTGATCCATGTTGGAATTCACCGGTGAGAACGGCATGGAGCCAGACTCCGGCCTTTACATATACCCGGTAGGGATCCAGAACGTTGGGCAACCCGTTCCATGGTGCCAAAAGCCATGAGAGCTCAACAACTCCTCTGCCTACGGCCCGCGTTCCTCTCTTTGGAAAGGGAAAGAAACATTCAGAACCTTGGGCCGTTTGCAACCATAAGATCGGGTTCGGGTTGCACATGGAAGGTACACAATCCCTAAAATAACATGCAAGTGGACCGCCACCTGATTGAAACACTGTTTGTAGAGGAAAATGGTTATCCAAGGTGCCATGTTCCACTTCCATGATCATTTCAGGGAGTGTGTATATATATAATTACTTTAAGCTGCACCACTCCGAACTGCCTCCGGTCGGCACAAATCTCCAAGAAAGCCTCCAGTCAGGGGCGAGACGATCCGAGGAGTTGAGTTGCTTTGGATCCGAGTAGATCGAGCGGAAAAAAGGATCTTCGATTGATGTGAAGGAACAACCGGTTTTTCGCTTCCATGCCTGGTCTAGATGTTCTCTCGGTGAAACCTGGTAACATGGTGGGCCGTGATCAACTAAGCTTGACATGGCAAGCCGCCTCACAACTGAATTGTCGGTTTTTCAACTAGCCCCCACCCAGCCTCTCCCACCGAAAAGAAAACATCTCAAACGAAGGCACACACACACACATTCTTCACTGTGGTGCCAGGTTTTGGATAGCCGTGATTCCGATGAACATCTACTCAAATCGTACAAAACAAGTACATGGCTCTCATTATATTTTCCAGATCAGAACCTAGTGGTCCTACTAAATAGATCTCTATATGTTCCATCATGTGGCAACCAGTTGTATTGGGTCCCAGCAATAACGTACTTATGTCACCAAAAGAAAAGAGACCTCTCCGTGGCCAACGGGCCAACAAGTCTTCTTCCGCTCAAATCTTTGGGTCTTGCCCATTGGTGGCCCCAAGTGATGTTTCAAGCTGCCTGGAGCTGTTCGTCAGCACGGTCCTGGAGGTGTTCCAATTTCAAATTTGGCAGCACACAGAAAAAAGTAAACATGGCCTTCGTCAGCACGTTCATCAAAAGAATCACAGCATCTCAAAGGCTCAAACGAAGAGGCATTAAGACCCATGAGGCTCACTTCATGGAATCCCATGGGCAGACCGGGTCATCAGCGGGTCGCGATTCGCTGTGTCGAGCAGCGATCGAATGAAGACTCAACGCAGAAGGCCAAGTCTACGCAGCTCTAGAGGCCACTTGGAGCGCTTGTGTACAGTGGTACAGTGGGTTCAGTGTAGATGGCACTTGTTCATATGGACCCCTATCAAAGGATATCTTGGGGATTGTGCCATCTACTCTCAAACCACTGTAAAACCAACCATGCACACAGAGTATTAGTATGCAAAAGAGTTTCTTATGTGCAAAAGCCGCTGCACGTGAAGGGGACGCTCCTCAGAAGCGACCCACGGGCAGGTGAGAACCTCTGTGTACTTCTGCCAACCTCCACCCTAGTAGGGATGGCCTTCAACCTACTAAGCCATGGCCTCCAACCTAGTAGCGATGGCCTCCACATACCGAACTGGTCATGCATTTAAACGTCATTCCGAACTGGTGGGCTCATGTCCTCCCATCCCATCCCATCACCCGTTGCTCCCCACCCATCATGAGTCGGAGGGGAGCTTCCGTACACCCCACCGTCCTCCTCCATCATCACCGCTTCCAAGCGCCCACTACTGATGATGTAGATCTCAGTGGTCACTTCACCCGCCTCGAGATAGCGCATGACACGTGTGTGACCGTGCGTGCGTGACACGAGGGCCCGTCAGCGCCCAATGAGAGAAGGACTTTAAAGTGTATGTATAGGAAATCCAGGAGACAAGTGAGTCCAAGAATAGCAGCTTTGAAACCAAACTATAAAAGAGACATAGCAATACAACAACCAATGAAAACAGAATGAGTGAGTCTTCTCTAAAGTCGTTCTGACAAGCCCGACTGGACGATCTTCGCAGCAAAAGAACCCCGGCTTGGGGAAAAAAGGCAGCCTTCCAATATTTACAAAAAAAATGAAAACAAGAGAAATTCCACCAGCTGAACAGGAATCCGCCGATTCGCCAGACCCCCAAGCGGACCCGCTGTTGGGGACATCGTTTCCCCCAACCAGCGGCCGCTTTCGCCTCGATGATGCACATCCGGAAGGGCACCTGACATCCCGATGGGTCAGAGCGGGTGCGTTCGATTGGCACAGCCTGTTTTCTACTGTAATTGTTTCAGCTTTCAACGGACTTTCCAAGGTTTGGTAGGCTTTAAAACTGTTCACTACCATGGAAAGCACCCCACATCACTCCTTCGCATCAAACCAGCCATCACCCGCGAGACGCCCACGCCCGGTTGTTGCCTTTGAAAACCCACTCCGTCGCCGAAGCGACTCACCGGCGCCTGCATCGGTGCCACCTGAAAGACCAGCTCCGCCACGAAGCTCTTCTCCGAGACGCCCAGCGCCGCCTGGAGCAAGTCGACCACCCCCGGGAGATGACTGGAAGCGCCAGAGAGAAAAAGCTGCTCCCGCCGCCCAGGAGGTGCAACTGAAAAGAGACACGATGGCTCAGGAGGGGCTCAGGAGGGGCTCAGCTGGGTGTCTCTCAAGATACTGTTCCTTCGGACGTCCGAAATCTGCACCTGGGAAGCCTGTTGGGTCGATCGGGCAGTATCCGTGAACTACAGCAAGTGGTGGTTGTATAGGAGTTGGTCCATCAACTGTGGGATTCAAGTCCACAGGGCTCCAGGTCGTCATGCCAAGAAAGGAACAGAATAGTCTACACATGTGTGTCTACGTGGCCATTTGCGACACAGTGGGAAGCGCCCTTCAACTCCAGGTCCAGTATATGATATTGGTGTCCAGTTGGGCCAGCCGGTTCTTTGAGATGCACTCAACGGTGTGGAGTTCAATCGACTTCCGCTCTGGGCTCAAGGAGTTATCGACTGTTGCCTGCTCCGACTGGCCAACACCAACAGAGGGTGATCCTCTCTCATAGGCCCCTTCAGGAAGTAATCCCCCACAAACACCGAGGAGATCCCACGCACCGAGAAGATCCTCAGGGTCCAACAGCCACCCGAGGTGGGAGCTCCTGTCCCTAAACTGGTCAATCCTGCCGAGACAGCCTGGGATGCGTGGGCACATTCCCTCCTACTATATAAGTGGTGTGCCTACCAAGCCTAGGAGGGCTCACCCCATCAAGAACCTGGTGTCCCCAAAACAAGTGGCAACCTTGCTGTTGTTTTCCCAGCTTTCGGGCACTGCCCCTGGTATACTAGGTGCTTGAGCTTCAAGACCGGGACCTGTTCCCCAGCGTTCGGACGGTTCCCCAGCGTCTTCGCACCCGCCTTTTTCCGGCGCAGACCCGAACATCCGAATGGAAAACTGGGCAATGACACGACTAAGAATCGACGGCCGAGGTTCGTTTCGGTTCTGCCCATGGCAATCAGGCGAGGTTGTGCCAAATGATCCACATGTGACGAGATGCGAGTGCATGTCTAACAACGGTCTGCCACAATGCTCAGTCTACTGTACTCGAAGACCCAAAAAGCAAAGTAAAGCCATTCCAAACCCACATGGCAAAAGGTTGCCATAAAATGGAACCTGGAAAAAATGTATAAACACGTGGCAGAAAACTCTGGTCTCGTGGAATCCCTCGGTTAGGGTCTATGTGACATTTCTGGTGTATGTCTGTATGTCTGTTTTCATCCTTGTTCCTGGTCAAAGGAGTTCCGTAAGGATGCCCTTGTTCGTTTCTTCGCTATGCTTTCATTGGCTTTCATGTTCTTTCATGTCTCCATGGTATCGAAAGTCGGCCTTCCCGCTTCAAAAAAGCCTGCCATGAAGCGTCAACTCGCGCAGCCCCTAACATTGCTGCGACGCCCAAACACAGGTCATCCGCGTTTGAAGCCTTGATGTGAAACGGGCAACTCGCACTCAAACTGTTGGCCCTCACTTTGGCAAGGCTTTTGGCAGCTTGCCACTGTCCAGCCTCAGAGTGCCCGGCCACGTGGAGGGACCCTTCAGAACCCGATCGATTTGGGGAGCTTGCGGCTTCGTGTGACACATCACGGCTTTGGGGTACCTAGCATCGGTCGCTCACACCACGGCTGGAATGAGGCAACTGCTCCTGAACAGTAACTGAGTTTACAAACACGGCCGTCCATGTCCATGCCAAAAATGATGAAAGTCAACTGTGAGCCCTTGTGATGAAAATACGTAGCGGCGAATTGAGGGGTGTGAAAAGAATATTTAGATATAAAAATCCATGTGCGTCGCATTTTGCATGTGTGATTCTTCACGCGTGAAGCCAGTCAAAAGAAAGGGAAGCCAGTCCGCTCAAGTGCCACAGCTGTGCACCTGAGGCCTGCGCACTGGCTAATAGAAATGAATCGAGACCCGTTGAAGACGGAATATCAAAGGCTCAAGTTAGTACAAGAAAAGAGCTCACAGGTAGGTTTTCGCGTGGAGTCGGGTTCAGGCAAAGATCTGCATGTAGCAGTGTCTGGCTCGTCAAAAAGGACACATCAGAATCAGAATGGCACTAAGTGGGCATCTGTGCACAAACCATTGACTCAAGTTTGCACTTCCTTTTGGTGCATGTATTGGATGACGACCTCTCAAACCAAACCTCCAAGGATAAGGACTAAGTTAGCAGCACGTTACTCATGTGCAGAAGGAATTACAGAGAAAATATAGTCTGCCCATAAAATTCCATCGGTGCAATCTCAAGAAGAATTTAGCAGCCACTCCTTGGAGTTGATCAGGGTTCCAAGCAGGTTCTTGATCACATCCTTGTGTTGCGCACAGTTCACGTGGCATATAGCCCATTTTCGTAACACACCCAACCCTGTTTTTCGGGCTGAAGCCGCTGACGGCGACACCCCATTCGCCTGGCAAAACACGCCAAGAGAGCTTCACCCAAGACAGCGATTCCGATCGATCCAGATCCATCGATGAGCCGAACTTGGAAGACAAAGCTCGACCCAATCGCTTGCCGTTGCCCTTCGTTCTCTCGAAGGCTTCGAGGACCCGGATCGTTGGTTCTTCCGAGTGGCTCCAACTGCATCTGCTCCTTGGTGAGAAGACCCGGCAACTGCATGTCCTGAAGCCCAGAGCACCGGTGGGGTTGCGAAAGACACCCGGGTTTCACATGACGGGGTTGAGCGCAGCGGGAAAATCGTGGCGGGCATTGGTGAAAGCTGCGAACCTCGGAAGATCCAGATTTGGAGATTGAACTTGGTGGTGTACACTCCCTAATATAATCATCAAGTGAATGGCATGGGCTCTTGGAATTTCCGATTGGACTGATCTATACATATCCATGCCATTGGGCAGTTGGTATCACAATGGACAGTTCAACAGAGCTTTCGATTTATCCAAGGTCTGTTCTTTTCCATGTATATAATAAGTTATACGTTATACGCCCAAGAGCAATCGTCACCAGTTTGAGGGTCGCTAAGTCCGCTAAGTTTCCTTGGCCATCCACTGTTGCTGGGTCAGTGGACAACCCAGTAATGGAACAAATCCTACACCAAAGCAAATCATGGTTCATGTGTTGCGCCGGAAGAGGAGAATGCCCTTCTGATTTGTGTGGTACGTCCGTCCCGAATGGCGAGACAAAACTGCCTATCTGGTGGACGGCAAAAGCAAGACCCTGGTGTTCGTGGGGGCTTTGCTTTTCCGAGGTTGCAATGAAATTTTGGGCACATGAAATATGTGTTCACTAGAACTCTTTGACCAATGATTTCATCTGTCATCTCTGAAAGAAGGCCTGTCCTTCTTGCCCTTCATCAACGGCTTGCCATAATCAGCCTCAATCCAGGACGTGCCACCTCAGCACTGTTGGCCAAGGGGTCCTCCAACAAATCCAGGTTCCCCCCAACCGCGGTGCCACCGTGCCACCGGTCCCTCGAACGGCGCCTCGCATCCCGATATCTTGTGTCCAAAGTGTCTTGAAAGCACAACACGGTCGGGTGACGTGTCAGGGCCGCAACACCGACGAAGCGAAGTTGGGAGAGGTGCTTGAACCATCGATTTCTGATGCGGGGGCCTTTTGAAGCGAATCTCTCTTCTACGATGACCAGCCAAAGGCGGTCCGCCCGAGGTCCGCCCCAGTCCCCGACCCGGCCGGTCTTCCGTCCGGTCATCCGTCCCAGGGCTTCGGACGCTCCTCGTTGAGGGGATCAAAGCCAGACCAGGCCTCAAGCAGGAGAGGAAGACCTGCTCTATTGGTGGATTTTGCCCCGTGACCCAACATGCAAGAGATGGATTTCATCCCAAAGGTCCATCTCCACCTCTTCTCTCTCACCAACTCCGTGGGATGCGAAGCGCACCACCATCTCGACTCTCTCCGGACTCGTCTTCACATCGACTCCAAGGGGCGGCCAATCCACGGAAGAGGCCATTCTGATTGGGGGCGCCCGACTGGTCCACATACTTGGGGAACCAACCTGAGATCGCCAGGCCCCAAACCCACAGCAGGACGTGTCTTTTTTCGCGTCGTGTTTTTTTGTCCCTCTCGTAGTGGGTCACAGGTCGCGGGAAAGAATCACAACAGGGGGGGCGCTTTGGTAGGAAGAAGTCGGTTGAATGAGTGGAGAACTACCTGGAAAGCTAGAAAATCAGAAAACTATGACTATGACAAGCTGTCCCCATGTGCTTTTGCTCCGATCATAGAGCCCTCCGCCGGTACTTGTGCTTCAACCGCAGATTTGCCTCGTTTGTGGTACTGAGATGTGCACGCTTGTGTCCATAGCGCTTCAACCAGTACCTGGGCAGGAGAAATTGTCTGATGAGTTCGGGAGTGTCATCTTGGCTCCGTAGTATTTTCAGCACTCAACAACAACAACAACAACAACAACAACAACAACAGAAGGTACAAGAATACGTTTCGGGACCAAAGACTCAAAGAAGACTCTAAGATCGTCCAAGTGAAAGACGATCTCCCCAACGAAGCCAAAGGTGCTGGGAGCATGGCTGAGCAGAAGTGCACACATCGGGATCCAGTGCCCCCCAAACATCAGGTCTGCCAAGGAGAAAAGTCTGACGTTCACCAAGCTCACTGCATGTCAGCAATCAAAAAGATCGAGAAAAATACAAAAGAAAGAAAACAATAACGAAAACTTACAGTAGTAACCCAGGACCCAGATGTTCGGATTCACGATCCCTAAGAACTTGCCCGCCTCTTTGCACAGACACCTGTCCTGAATCATTCGCCCGAGTTCCTCTTTCTGGTTCAGGTCCTACTCGTGGATGAGTGGTGTTTTTTTTTTTCAAGTACTCTATCGTGGTGTCCTCGAGAGAGAGAGAGAGACCCCACCTAAAAAGCCAAGAACGCAAAGAAAAAAGGTAGATATCTCGAGCACGCACAATACACACAATGCACTCAATCCTAGCCACCCCCTAGCCACCCCCCAGGGCTTATGTCTACCCGCTTCACGGCCAGGCGGCTCGTTCTCGGCAATCTTCTTGGGATCCTCCAATCCTGCCTGGGCGATCTCCTTCTTCAAGCGGCCTGGCCATCGCGATGCGACAACCCAAGTGGTTTCGGACTCACCTGTTACGCCATGGTTGCGGTGTCCTTGGGCAAAAGGATACCTAGCCCGTTCTATTTGTGTGGGAATGTCAGTTTTTGAAAAAGCAGAGACAAAACAGAACCTCATACAAACAGGGTGGTCACCTTCAGTGTTGGAAGCGAGCCCTGTTATCAGGATGTGTTTGGACTAAACTCCCTGAAAAGTATCATGGAAATTGGACATATCCCCCTTGACTTCGTTCGTTCTACAAACAGGCGGTGTTCCACTTCCAGGGAGTCAATATAGCTGCATTTGGAAGCATCCGGACTTTGTGTCATTTCGGCATATGAAGCAGGCGAAGGACTGTCCATTCCCAAGCTACTTCACTTGCTCAAACCGCTTGGTCAAAGCCGTTCGCAGCTCGTTCGCATCCGAGGGCCCAAGCGCAAATTGTCGTTGTTGCCAGTCCCACCAAGCATCTCCCCCAACTTGATCTTGATGGGCCCCAACCTGGGAAGACCACGGCGGCTCCAGCTTGGCGCCAGGACAACAGACCCAATCCATTCCGTAACTGCGTCACATCTACCACAAAAGATGCATGGAGGGTGCCAAGTACCCATGATCCCTCCACCCAAGAAGAGTACATCCAATGTCCTCCAAAGGGGTGGTTCATGGACACCCCAACAGCTAAGGGGCTATAAATAGACACCCCTTGAAGGGTCCTGATATCCAAACGATGGGTATTTGGGGTCCCAAACAATCGACCCGATCGACCCGATTCTCGGCTCCGCGGCTGGAAGATGGGAGGCGTGTCGATGCCCTTCTTCACCTGCCGGTGACGTGGGGCAGAGAGATGCGGAGTTGGTGGCGCTGAACATCCAGATGGTCGCGTACTGAAAGAACCTTCTTTTCCTGAAAGGGGGTGGGAAAGCAAAACTTGCAGGGAACCACTTCACTGGAGCTTCGTGCTAAAGACCCAGAAACCTCGTTGTTTTCCACCCGGCCGAAACCAATCATCAGGTCGTCAGGCCCGGAACGAAACAACGCTTTTTTGGAACTGCGGGGAGTCGTCTTTCATGCTTGACCCGTCGGCCTCTTCCGGCGAAGCGCGCATGCGGTAACGGTAGCCCTGAGCCCACCTCAGAGGGGTTGAGTTGATGGCTGTCTCGGGGGGCCAAGTCCGAAGTCCCCTTTGGACAAGCTTTTGGATGCGCACCCCACGAAATCCAGAGTTTCCTGGGGAAGGAAGCTTGGGGGGGGGGGAGGTTACCAGTCTATGAACCAAGTGCTCCAGTAAAATCCAACATGAAAAGTGCCCTGCTGGGTGTTTGGGAAGAGGATGTTTTATGATGTTTTATGTGGGGGATGGTCGGTCAGTTCCATGCGGGTAAATTTTGAGGCTGCACTTTGACTCATTTTCACGTCGAATGGAATTCCATTCCATGTCCCCAAAGCGTGGAAAAGGATCCTCCACTATGCCACGTCAGCTTGACAAGGAGAGTCTAAAAAAACAACCCGCGATCTGGAGTTTACATGGGCCGCCTCTCGAACGGGCTTCCCCATTCCCATTTTCTGGAAGACGTGCAAAAGACATCCAGCTGATAGAAAGCCAACCCATGGCCCCGTGGCGACTAGGTTCATTCCCAAGCGGGTTTGGCAATTCGATCCCATAAAGACCAAGAAAGATGGTGCTCCCGAACCCATCGTACATGGACAATTTGCAGTAAAAGCGGTGGATCGTTCTACAAAAAGATTCCCCGGGCTTCTGGCCAAGCCCCAGCCTCTTCTTATCAACTCGTGCATAACGTCTTCGCCCAAGAGTCGGTCCAGTAACTACAGGACAACTACAGCCAGCTCCGTTCTTTCCAGCTGTACAACTGAAAGCCGCTCTCTTTCACGTCCCATTTCCACGCGAACCTCAAAGAAAAGACTTCTCCCATCTCTCAACTGAGTGACTGCGACTTCTCAAAGCCCTTCTCTCCCACCCAGAAGCCCTCAGAGACCTGGAGGGAGCGATCGCCTCAGTCTCATCAGTCCGACCGGCTCCGTCTCCGACCCGACCCCCGGCACGCCGTAGTGACTCGACGCGGTTCGGGGCGTCGAGGGGCGCTTCGACCTGCAGATCGGTTTCAGAACACCTGGGGAGAACGTGGGGATGCCACAGCCCACGATGTCCAATAGAAGAACATGTCTCATACACACCTCTAGAGGGTCCTCTAGGTGCGTGTTTTTCGAGTGGGATCCCCTTGAACAAATGGATTGGCCCACGAAGTCACTTCGAAGCAGAGGATTTGGGTGGAGCCACGTACTAATTCCAAAAGACGCCAGTCCGCCGACAGGATGTCTTTCCACTCCTGATCGCCCTTCCGAGCTTCCAAACATCTCACCAAAGCCAGGTACCTGTTGTTGGTGGCCCTGGGCATTTGCTTGAACAACCAGTCATCATCCCCCAAAGCCACCCATCCTATCCCATCCTTATGCTGACCTTTGTGCGCCAAGCATCCATCCTTGGCTTCGAGCATTCGGTCCTGGTCCGGTGAGGCGAGACGACCCACTGGGTCCCTGGGGTCCACCCCCAAGCAGCTGGGTCGGTCATGTGGTGCCCAAGTCATCTCTCCACGAGGCCGAAAAGACGGACGGGCATTTTGGAGAACTTGGCATGCCTATTGTTGAGCCATGTATATATATATATATATAAGTCACTTGAGCCAAGGGGAGCTCCAGATCCAAGAACATTATATATTTGTTTAAGGAAATTCCGGAATCCCCCTTCTGGGGTTCATTTCTGTTTTGTCTGTAGCCTACCATAGCATTCAATTCGAACCGGCTCCACCCAGGCCCCTCAGACGCTTTTCGTCGGCTCCCCCCAAAACCACCGCGCGGGCAATTCTGCAGCTGCAGGCGCCAGTCGGTAGCCATTCATGGAGGTCCGGGGTTCGTGCCTCGAAGAGAACGATTTCGCCGATGGGCCGAAAACGCACCGATTCCCGATGGGCAGCCGCGATGTCTCTGCTGTTCATTCGTTTGTGAGAAGGCTCCGGTGAACGATAGGACAAGACTGGTTTTGTGATCCCCAGTTGATGAGCATGCTAAACCATGCCTAGTGACCAGCACTATCTTACAAGTGGTGTGCAATCTATATACACAAACCTCAAGAAAAGTATGGGAGAAACGAAGCCCTGAAGAGTGGTTAATGAAGTTTCAAAACTGCTCGGACCTTCCGGGAACAACGGCCGCATTGCCTCGTCGGGCCGGAGCCCACAAAGGCCCACGTGCCGAAGGCCAGCGCGGTAAGCCTCAGGTGTTTGGCGGACTCTCCACCATGGACGTTGGTCAAGGGCTTAACCAAAAGGAAATCATGGGTCATACAGTAAATGATGAAGAAATGTATTGTTAATGACTACCCCTCGCAACCATATACCTGGTGTATATATATATATATACCTGGTGCCTGGCATGTTCTTTCCAAGAACCTCTGCTGAAACCGTCCGACACTTGCTGCTTCGCGGCGTGGCCATTCCGCTTCGGCGTCCCATGGCTGCGACCGGGGTTCGCACGGCTGCGACGGGGTTCAGGGCGTTGTCCGGTCCGGGTGACGGCGCAACTGGAGCCAAAAACACAGAGGGGTGGCCGCAGGCGCTCTTGAATATGTGACAGTATGTGACAGTGGGAAACGATCAGATCTTCGTGTTGGGTAGGAACAAGTGCATCTTGCTACTAGTAGTAATGCCCTTAGTTACTTAGTTACTAGTAGCGATGCCCTTGTTAACCTCTGGCCCCCCAGCTCTTGATCTTGGAACCCAGAATCGATTGAAGTGCTCCTTTCCGCCAGCGCAATCCAGATCAGCTGCGCCAGCGAGGAGTCTGGGTGTGCCGTAGGGTCTCAGGTTCCCCCTCATCTATTCGACTGAAACCATCACCAGCATCGAAACAGACTTGGTCTTCCTTTTGACAGAGTTTGCAGAACTATTGGCATCCTTTGCTGGCAAGCAGAACCCTTTGCAACGTGGTCGACTTCCAACTTCATCCACCACACCCACCCAAAAAAGATCAAAAAGGCCGGCCAACGCGTTCGCAGACCAAACGCACCAAACGACCTTCGACCTCACACCGGCCCATCGAGCAGGACCACACCGGACCACAGTCAGCGTTCGTTCCAACACGAACGCGGTTCGTTCGTTCACACCTGTAGGGCTTGGAAGTAGAGCCTCTGCGAGCTCTCGACCTGGCTTTCGGCCGCGAAAAGCATGGCGAAGCGCGCGGCTGAGCGATCAGCATGGTCACACCACCCACCGAGATGTTCCAAGTCAAGGGAAAGGAATGCCGAATGCCTCGCATATAGTAGAGTTGCTGTTAGAAAAGAGGACAAGCCCACATGCGACATGCAGCGACCACTGAAGTCTGTGGCCATATCAAAATGAAGACAACTTTGGATCCGCAAGATGTTCATGTTCCATTTCGTCATTGAGTCCACCGGGGCTTCCACTTCCATGTTAATGAGTCGGAGGGTAAGCCCCACGTGTCCATGCCCGAATCGGCGCTTGGCTGGCGAGCCGTGAAACCGCCACCAGTTCATCCTCACTCGATGGTTTTGGGTTGTTCTAATGGCACCTGCATCTTCAGAGGCATCTTGGTTTTGGTTCATAAGTTCATACTCACATCACCCGTTGGACAACTCTTCAGGATGACTCCCAACTCACATCGCCGCACTCACGACTTCGCCCTCCAAAAAAATAAGCCTCGGCCCCCACACCAGCTGACTCCGAAGGTGAGTCGGCAAGGAGAGCAGCGTCTGATCTCGGTCCTGCACATTCGACACGGCTTCGACCCATGGGGAAACCCCGCGGTCGAAGTCACCCGCCGTGGCAGTCAACGCGTGTGGGTCCACACCCGTCCTTGAGGGCCCTTCGAGAGGTGACGAAGCAGAAGTGCGACCACACCTGACGCGACGAGCTGAGGAAGCTTCCCCAAAATGAGCAGATCAACTGGAGTTCGGTCAGTGTATGTTCCCAATCCAAGTTGGTTGGGTCATCAAGAAAACAAATAAGAATCACATATCAGCCGGGAAAAGAAGACGGGTTGAATCCTAATCACAAGCTGTCAAATCTGTTGAGCTTGATGTTGGAATGATCATCCTGTTTTGCCACAAGCACAACCCCAGCATCAGCTGCAACATCCACTCTGCTATTCACCACATATCTCTACAACCTCAAGAAGCACACGTCTGCCTCGTG